ATTAAATATATTTTAATTTCTAGATTTTTATGTTTTTATAATAAACTGTAATTTAATAAATTATGTCAAATCTTAACATTAATTTATTATTTTTCTTATTATTAAATTAAATTATTGTGTTAGACTATAAAAGTACACGGTAATTATTTATAAATTAAATTTTACTAGTTACTAAATATGAATTTTTATGCCAAATATAAATGATACCGTATATTGAGCTCGTTTTCAATGAATATGCTATTTACTTATACTTATACAGTATTTTGTTTTCAGTATATAAAACAAAAAATCAAATAACAATAAGATATGTAAACATTTGCTAAAAGTTTAACAGAAGTCTTTTTTGTTTATTTTGCATATTTATGTTAAACAAAATTTATTGAATAATCATTTTATTGATGAAATTCTTTAACATATAATCGAAAGCGAAGACAATGTAAAGACCAGAGAATTTGTTGAAGTGTTGAGAAATACTGTATAAAACGTATATAAAAAGAGAGAAGTTTTTATTTGTATAACAAGAGTATAACAAAAATAGTTAACAAATTATTGGAAAAATCTGACAATTTGTTCGCTACACAAACACTCAGTAAATTCAGTAAAAAAATAACACACTTTTAATATGATGTCAAAATAATCCTTAAAATACATTTAATGAAAGAATAGTTTTGAAATAATTTGATGATTGCTTTTAAAAGAAATCTCTCTCTTATTGTTTGTTATGAAATGAATACTTTTCTCTAAAGAGCACAAAAACTTTGTAATGCTTTTTGGGAGACAAAACAACAACTATCTCTTTATGAGGAAATAAGAGATATATATACTGGATACCACTATATATATACTGGATATATACTAGTATATATACATACTAGTATATACTGGAGAGTGAACTAGATGAGTGAACAGACTTTAAGTACTATAGTATATTTACTGCTAAAATACAATATATTTTAAAGAATATTAAATATATTACCATTTAGAATTATAAACATGTTTGAGTTAAGTATTGTCAATTAAAAGCATGAGTAAATTTGCTTTTAAAACATCTATAAACTAGAAGTATATTTGTATTGAAATGGTAAATATAATCGATTTGAAACTTATTTCTATTAGAGTTCGAAGGCATGTCTATTCAGTTTTGATGACATCTCTACAGATAAGTCTATTTTTTGACATTTTTCTTCATTCAGTACTTTATCTCTTTATAAAATGGAAAAACAACACAAAATATACATTTTATGTTCAGTTCTGTTGAGACAAAGTTTGAGACAAAAAATGTAATAACAATAAAAGATTTTGAGAGAGAGAGAGAGAGAGAGAGAGAGAGAGAGAGAGAATCTACATTTTTATACAGTTTGCAAATCGATTTTATAGAAAGCATGTGTCAAAAAGCCTTAAACAAAACAGCCCTCAAAGAGAAAGTGTTGTAAAAAGTATTGTTTGAATGGATTTAAAGTGAAGAGAAGAAGAGCCAAAAGTAAAGAACAAAAGAGACAAATAACTGACGCTTTGAGGGCGTTGTTCACCACCGCTAACGGTATGTTAGACTACACTCTCATATTAGGGCTATACATAAGACCATAGACACCGCTATTATATCATTCTCTCTCTCTCTCTCTCTCTCTCTCTCTCCATATATATTTTTTGTGGAAAGTCTTAAAACTTATTTTAATAACTTATTAGTCGATAATATTTTTCAATACATAGTAATATGCATTATATTTTGTAATCTTTGATGCAAAAATCATTGGTTTGAAAATTTCAGAGTTTTTTGACACATGCTTTCTATAAAATCGATTTGCAAACTGTATAAAAATGTAGATTCTCTCTCTCTCTCTCTCTCTCTCTCTCTCTCTCTCTCTCTCCATATATATTTTTTGTGGTTTGGGGGCAATATTTGCCTCTTTTTCTGTTTCAGTTTGCATATAAAGTCTCTATTTTTTGTTTTAAGAAAACTTTTTCTCAAATATAATCGCAATACTAATGCAAACCTTAAGGCAGTCAAAGTTATATCACTTTTATTTTAATAACATTGCGCTGGAATTTACGAGAATAACTGTAATATACGTTACTTCAGTTCAACTCATATAAGAAATCCAATATTCGCTCATTTGTTTTAATCTCTGAAATTTTCAAACCAATGATTTTTGCATCAAAGATTACGAAATATAATGCATATTACTATGTATTGAAAAATATTATCGCCTAATAAGTTATTAAAATAAGTTTTAAGACTTTCCACAAAAAAGTGAAAGTTTTCATGTCTAACACTTAGTTCATAATAATAATAATAACCAAAATTTAATACCGGTTGACATCTTATGAACGCATGTCTTCTCAAATATGATTTATGTGTTTATAAAGAAAATCATTAAAAAATTTGTTTGACATCTAAATTAATATGTATGTAATATGTATTAGAATTAATTAAAACACTAAATGGTTTTGGATTTGAGCTTAAGCATATTATTTCCTAATTAGTAATTTGTCTCAATTGTAAATTTTTATACCTAGTTTGTACAGTATAATCTAATCTTAAATATTGTGATAGTTGTAATAATAAATATAAAATTATTTTTAAATAAATATTAATAATAAATTTATAATATAAATTCTAAATATTATATTAATTTCTATGTTATATTAATATATGGATAAGAAATCAATAGTGTTGTGTGCCGGGATAATTTAAAAATACTGTATTGCCATTTTTGTGTTAAAAACAATTTTAAAAACCATTGAACGCATCGTAAGAAAAGGCTTTCCTTTATGAGATGGTGTCTATTGAAGCAGAAACGATGGTTTGTTTGATGGATTGTCGGTGTCTTTCAGTGCAATTGAGGTAATGTTAAGGCATATCGGATCCCATATTATCCGTTAAACAGTATAACAGTATTGTCACAGAATTGACATTTTGACGCCTTTTAAAAGAATGGGAGCTGTGATTGAGATTGTGTTCAGAGTTGGCCATCAGCTCCGACACACCGATTGTATGCCAAATGAGATGTTACCAAAACATTCAGAATATATTTTTAACACAAAAAACTCCGGCATTTATATCGCGGAAAACTTTTTTTAAGTCGAATGGTATACATGACTGAATAGTGTATATATTAGTTATAATTTATACAAAACATGTCAGACTTTATATAAAAAAGCAAAAAATTGTGTCTCAAATAATAAAATGCAAAACAGAAAAGAAAATGAATGAATAGTATGGCATAAAATTCAGAGTTTATATTGCATTATATTGTGATAGTATTATATAAGATAATACTGTATACACATAGTTGTAGTGAACGGTGTATTGGCTCTCCTCCGGGAAATTTAGGCTTCTTTTGTAATACAAATGCATCCAAACATTACCTCCAGTTTAAGGTTCGGGACTTTTAGTCGTGTCTTTCAGTCCTCCACTGACTATACTGTGAACTAAATGTTAAGACAAATGTTAAGACATTCAGAGCTCCATAAGTAAGACTAAATAATATGTTGAGATTAAGTCGATGGTAGACTACTTGTGCTCTACAACAACACCAAATGTATTCAAAACACAAATTCTTTCAATGGATATAATGAACACAAGGATTAGTTGATTCTGTGTTTGAATCAAAGCAAAACAAAATTGAAACAAAAAACATCTCTGACTTGTGTATCGTATGTCTTAAGTCAACAACAGTTTGAACCATTGCTTCTTACTTAACATATTCTCCATTTGCTTTCAAATTTCGTTTAAAAGATTAAAAGTATTTTAATATAAAAAATTAAATCTTATTCAAATGTCACAAACAGATTGTGTGAAACTTCGCGAGAATAAAGCTGCGAATTTCCAAAAACTGATTATTTTCACATATTTTGAAGTTTGCAAATGAATTGTGAAATCAAATACATTGAAACACTATAAATATTATTTTGGGACTTAATCTGTCAGGTATTCAGAGTGGGGTTCAACTTTGACCAATAAAGTTATGCCCCATTTTCGAGGCACTGATCTTAATAGCCATAAAGTACCTGTATAATTTAGGTATGGTGTATGTGATACATTGTGATTTCACTTACTTCTCGATTATTTATAAGATCTTGATTTTAGGAATTAATTTCATGATAACAAAGTTAAGAAAAATAAGCTTCATAAAAATTCTTTTTAAAACTTTATTTTACAATATTAATGGTATGAACCGGTAATATAAAATACAAAATTGACTTTGTATAACAAAAGGCACTATTTGAATAATAATAATTATATTGTGTTATTCTTAACACATTTTAAAACTTTGGTTTTGTATTATGAAATAGTATTACAGATCATCGATTATTAAAATGATTGCCAAATAAGTTACAAAATAATGAATCAGATATACAATAGATATCCTTAAATACAGTATGAAATTACAATTAAAAGTAAATTGCAATTATAAAAACAAAAAGACAATAAAAACGTTTAAACCACTGTTTGTGAGCGACTCTTAGATATACTAAACTGTGTCAATACAGCCGCCGCTTCAATCACTTCCAGTTCCTCCGAGTCTTTGATCATATGATCGGTCAGTATCTGGTGTTCAAAGTATTCGAGTTGAGACTCAAACAGAAGCCAACAGATGAGGCATTTGTATGGACGCAAACAGAGCCTCAACTTCTTGTTATCACACTTGATGTCCTCATCGGTTAGTTGGCTATAATCACTACCAAAGACTTCTTTATCTATCACTGCATGGCTTTCGGAAGCCATCTGTTGACTGTTTGATACCACCGATGGGTCGTTGGATTTATATTCATTATACGAGTACTCTTGAGATGAGACCAACTCTTGCGAAGAACTCAATTCGCTTTCGCTGGTTGTGGTGGAGCTCACGGGTGACCACATCTCACTGTTTGCGCGACAATTCGGTGATCCCTCCAAACCATACTTCTTATCATCAGTTTTATTGTACTTCGAGTACGACTTCGAGTGGGATATCATGAGATTGTGGACACGGAAGCAATGTCTCTCTAAATTGCTTTTATGACTCGTTTCATACATACACTCTTCGCACGAGTAGTCTTTGATCCCATTGTGAACCGTTTGGTGTCTTCGGAGTAAAGCCTTCCTATGAAATGAAAACAAATTCATACAACTAGTGGTTACACGGGATGCCATCAATGGTCAGCCAATAAGACAAATACCGGGGAAATACTTTATTACAGGACTTGTCATCGCATCGGTAGCCATCCCTGTGGTACAGATGGCTGTGTTTCTTGAGCTCCGCCTTATTGCTGAAGACTTGACCGCAACATTGCGATGGCTTTACAAGCGGACCATAAGTGTGTCAGAGATATGAGATAACAGTGAGTATTGGTATCAAGAAATTGGATAATCAAATGAATGGCTATTAATAGGGATATAGTGTCTGTCCCGTGGAGTACATACACGACTGCATTCCTCGTGCATTGACTTCATATGGCGATCGAAATTACTTTTACGATCACTCTTATAGTCACATAAACCACATCTCAATACCATCTTTGAATACCACTCATCCCTCTCGACCTGAATATCTCTCATCATTCCTCGTGCATTGACTTCATATGGCGATCGAAATTACTTTTACGATCACTCTTATAGTCACATAAACCACATCTCAATACCATCTTTGAATACCACTCATCCCTCTCGACCTGAATATCTCTCATCATATCTCTCATCATTTTCTTTATTCAATAGATTTATGCAAATAATTATAGAAATGAATGATTGAATTGAATACTAAAGAGTGAACTGTGAGTAGGATTTAGTGAAACATTAATGTGAGTCAAAAGTGGTGTTCAGTTTGAGGGATGGGTTGCCGACGAGTACTGAATGCCTTTAAATGTGATACACTTTCTTCAATATTTATACCTACTTTTGGAAATTAGTTTTCAAGTTTAGTACAGTATTGTTGTATTGTTTGCAACATTTATTTCGCACAAACACTCGTACAGTAGATCCTAATCTCCATTTCTTATCAAAAGTTTAAACTTTTATATGAGTTTAGAGTTCAAAAAATAATACCTTAAACTATTCCTGAATATAGCAAAACATTGATAAACACATGCATTGCTTTTATTTGTCCATTAAATCAAATGAATAACTCGTTTCTTATCCTCGCGAGGATTAACTCAAAAATGGATTACTTTTGAGCGAAAACTATAGGACTTTAGCCTTGAAGTGATCACTGCTTTCATTACATCTACTCTTGAATTAGACTTGAATTAGAAAAATGTCAAAAAATAGACTTATCTGTAGAGATGTCATCAAAACTGAATAGACATGCCTTCGAACTCTAATAGAAATAAGTTTCAAATCGATTATATTTACCATTTCAATACAAATATACTTCTAGTTTATAGATGTTTTAAAAGCAAATTTACTCATGCTTTTAATTGACAATACTTAACTCAAACATGTTTATAATTCTAAATGGTAATATATTTAATAATCTTTAAAATATATTGTATTTTAGCAGTAAATATACTATAGTACTTAAAGTCTGTTCACTCATCTAGTTCACTCTCCAGTATATATATCTCTTATTTCCTCATAAAGAGATAGTTGTTGTTTTGTCTCCCAAAAAGCATTACAAAGTTTTTGTGCTCTTTAGAGAAAAGTATTCATTTCATAACAAACAATAAGAGAGAGA